TTTATAAATGACCCCGTTATAGCTAACCAAAGGTCAAAATTAATTATTTTTTTGATAATTAGTTATCTATAGCACCCAGAGAATATTACTGCAGTGGTTTGATCGAGATTGAGCAAAAAACCTAGGACTAGTTCGCAAAAGTAGTTTTTTAAAATAATCTTGAATATGTAATGACCAGTTTGATTGACAGCATTGGTCCTAGAGGCAAAGTTGTTCAAAATGAGGAGTTCTGTCATGTGATATGAAGATCTAGTGTTTTTATGAATATATGTACATGTTCTGTAATTTGAGGTCATTTTCTATACAAATATTGTATTTTTGAGGCCTTTTCAACTGTTATAGCGCCACCTACTGTTCGATCTCGATGAAAATTTGCATGCTTGCTAAGAGTCATCCGACACATGTTTTCACCAAGTTTCGTAAAGTTTGGAGTTTTCGTTTAGGCTTTATAGATTTTGGGGTATATTTGACCACGCCCTTTTCTAAATGACACTGGTAAAGGTAGCCAAAGAACAAAATTCTACTTTTTTTTGATAATTATTGATCTAAAGAGTCCAGAGAATATTACTGCAGTGGTTTGATCGAGATTGAGCAAAAAACCTAGGACTAGTTCGCAAAAGTATGTTTTTAACATATTTGTGAATAATTATTGAACGATTTGATTGACAACAATGGTTCTTGAGGCAAAGTTGCTCGTTATGAGGAGATCTATCAAATGATATGCATATTGTCTGGATGACTGAAACACCACGTGATTACAGAGCCATAAAACTCTTTAGCGCCAACTAGTGGCCGATTTCTTTCAAAATCCTTACAGACCTTTAGGGCCATACGTCGAACATGCCCACTGAGTTTCGTCCCGATCAACCTCCGTTAACCTTGTCTTATAGGTGCTTAAATGTCTTTGGCCAATGGCGGCCATGTTTTTTTATATAATCAAATGTCCTCATAGACCCTTATGGCACACTGGACAAACACACTGCATACCAATTTTCAAGTTGCTCGGACCAACGGTTGCAAAGTTATATTTGTTCTTATGTTTTTTCC